GGGGGGGGGGAGAAGCAGCAGCACACTCCAGGCATCACTGACAGATGGCTGACTGGTCACACCCCTCCCATCTTGCCTTATTGATGTGCAAATACCTATCCCAATGTATCTCAGGTGACAGTCACTCAGGTCTGGTGCCTATGTGAAATCAGCTTCAGCTGTTCTCAAATATCATTGTACTGTAACCCCTCCTGAGAAGAAAAATTACAACATGATCTTGAGAAGGGGGACCAAAGCCTAGGTCCCAATTTGAGTCTCACCAGACTGGCTGAGGTGGGAGAGGGCAAGATGAAGACTGAGAGCTTCAGCCTCAGATGGGCCCCCCCGCCTCAGGGCTGAAGTCTTGAAATGAATGGAGATGCCTATCTCCTAGAACTGAAAGGGACCTTGAGAGGTCATTAAGTCCAGACCCCTGCCTTCTCAGCAGGACCAAGTACCCTCCCTGACAGATTTTGCCCCAGATCCTTAAAATGGCCTCCGTAAGGATTGAGCTCACAACCCTGGGTTTAGCAGGCTAATGCTCAAACCACTGAGTTATCCCTCCCCCTCAAACCCTAAAGTCTTCAGGCTTTAGTCCTAGGTGGTAGGGTTCGGGCTTCAACTTCGGCTCTGAGCCTGAGCAAGCCTGATTAAAATGGGGTTGCAACCCACAGGTTGAGAACCACTGAGCTAGGGGGTCTCCTAGCAGACAGGAGTCCACATCACAAAACTGCTGGCCCACTTGCTGAGATGAATAGGACTGAATGGGTCTGGAGGCTAAAGTCCTCTTTTGTGTCTCAGGGTGCTCCCTTCAGGTCAGGAGTAAGGGGTAGTTTTTGGGAGCAGCAGTATGAGAGAGCTTGCCCTGCTGTTACCTGTACTGTACTTAATCTGTGCCTCAACAGAAGATTTTGGTCTCCAAGTATGTCACCAGCCCATAATCTCTACCCCAAAAACGTGGAGCTGCATTTAATTTGCTGTAATGTGGTAGTTAATTTGTGACATTTGCCCAGCAACAAGGTTGAGTTGTTTGTGCTGACTTCTTTCTAGAGTTCAGTAGAGGATTAATCAATGCAAGTATCCATTTTTGTCTAAGTGACTTCTTTGAAATGCAAGGCTGCTAGTCTGAGTCTGTCCAGTCGTGGAAGGAGGACTGGTCCTTGGACTAGTAGATCAGCTATGTGCGGTCAAGATATCAGGTGGTCTGACATGAGGTTAATCAGGCCTGAGGACCATAGTCTACTCAGTCAAAGGGGCATAATCAGTTTCAGTGCTAGTCCCTCCTTCTTAGCCATAGGTACTGACTTCCCCTCTAGCCATGGGGGAGGGGAAAGGGGATAGATCCCTCACTCCACCCTTTCCCCTAAGCTCTGCCTCTTCCCACTCCAACTCCACCCCTGCCCTGCCTCCATCCACCCCTTCCCCCTGCATGTCCCACTTCCTCTCAAGTGTGTGGCCCCCATTCTTCCCCCACCCTCTCAAAGCTTCCTAACACCGTGAATCATCTGTTTGTAGCACTCCAGAAGGGCTGGGAGGGTGGAGGATGAGTTGGTCAGCTAGGCCGCCAGTGCACGAGAGGTGGGGGGGGGGAGGGAGAAGCCCGAGAGAGGAAGTTGGTACCTGTTAATTTTCCCCGGTGCCCCAGAGCACTCGCAGAGTCAGCACCTTTTTTCTTATCTTCTTATCTTCCATATAGATGTGAGGAACAGCACAAAGGATGGGAAAGCTATACAGCCATAACCTTAGTCTGCTTTGAGAGAGATTGTTCATCACCTTGGATCCCGGACCTTGATACCTGGAAAGATGCTACAAAATGCTTTATTGTTTCCAGATACAAGAGGTCAGTCACTGACAATGAGTGAGAATAGTTCTAGGCTAAGGCTTCATTCTACTTAACCTAACTTCTGCCTGGTATGACAGGCTGCCTGGATGACCATCTCTTATCTTATGTGCCATGTATGTAGAAGTGGAAATGTATTTCTGCCCAGGACAGGAAAAACTGAGCTTCTCTCTGGGCTTTGGCTGATTGAGTTCTTCCTAATTTATCTACAAAACCCCATCAGAGGTGCTGTCTGTCACAATCAGAATGAGTCTGCGGTCCCTGGAGTGAGTGACATTTTGAGGCCTCAAGAAAATCACTCTGGATTGACTCAAGCCCTGATTGCACCCCATTATTTCTAGCTGGCGTCTGCTGTAATCATCACCTTGCCTGGTTCACTAATGGAAAGGGTCACAAAATCTGATTCTCTGTGTTCACTCAATGGAGTGGAGAATAGACTCTAGGATTCTGATATCTGCTAAGGGATATGATAAGGTGAGATGTGGAGATGATAAATTTATGGATCAGTTTATATGAACTTCCTCCTCCTGCTCCCACATCTGATTCTGAGACTCCTGGGATGAGGCATACCTGGGAGGTCGACAAATGCCTTTGATGTCGACCGCGGAGAGTCCAGACTACTGCACTGAGCCGAAAAACAGCTGATCGGCTCAGCGCAGCAGTCATGTAAATTTAAATGAAGCAGCGATTATTTAAATCGCTGCTTCATTTTCCTATGCCGGGTAGTCTAATCTACATGCCTCTGTCGCCAGAGGCATGTAGTCTAGACGTACCCTATATTGCACGTGGTTCTCCTTGACGCCCTTACCTGGGATAGCAGTAGATATGCCGTAGGAGCCTGCTATAGCAGGAGGAGGCAATGGAACGGGAACTGAAGACTCTACCTCCCTCTCTAGTGTTAGCAGTGTTGGTGCTGTAGACAATGCCTCCAGACATGGCACATGGAACTTTCATGGTACCCTCTCACATACTGTCTTTCAGGTATCACTCACCTCATGGAGATGTGGAAGAGGCACCCATGTGCCACAGGAGCAGCTTTTCCAACCTCACCTACCTCCTTTTCCACCCAGAGAAAAACAAGGTCAAGGCAACCCTGCTGGGACATCAGCCGCTGAGACTGCCAGTTTCTACAGTCCTGCCTGGAGAATTGTGAGACCTGGGTTTCACCTGAGAACACGTGCAGTAAAGATGAGCTATGCCACTAGGACCACCACTGAAAATATTTTACACAAGTGAGTTTCAGTCTGATAAATAATCTCAAGTACATTTTAGTGAAATTTTCAACCATTATTAACCTAAAGTGCACACATATTCAATCTCTTTAACTGTGCTGTCACAAAAATATAGCAAATTATTTTTCAGCATATCCATGTCTGTGTATGCGCTATTGAAGTCCATACTTATAAATGATTGATAATTGTTAATAATGCAAAAACAATCTTTAAAAACAGGAAAAGCATTACCAGTACTTGTGTCAAGCTTCTGTTGGAACAGATTACTACTGTAGCTGACTGTGGGAGACTAATTCAAGTTAAATATTTCCTTTGCCCCTAGATCAAATTAATGTTAATTTACTAATGAGTTCAGGAGGAATGCCAAGGTAAGGTTGAGTGGCCAGGCCAAGGAGTTTGATTAGAACAAATTGAGTTGTTGAATCTTTTTAAGTATCACTTGTTTTCTCATATATCATGTGAATTATGAGTCATCATGGGATTTGTAAAGATATAAGGTGGTTAATAGGATTTTCAAAACACCAAGGTACCTACATGCAGGATTTGAAAGGGCATTGGGAGGTAAGGGCTTAGACACTTTTGACAATCTCGCTAAACACTGATCTGTCTTCAAATACTTTTGGAAAGATGGTCCATGTTTCTTTTGTTCTATGCTTTTCGTAGGACATATACTGATATCTGTATCTACAGCATGAAATAACAAGAGAAGTAGTATAACCAGAAGTTTGTTTGAGAGACTTCTGAACCTAATGTATGACTCTAAAGATTTTTTAAAGGTTGAAGGTACATTAGTAGTTTGAAAGGACTTCGGGATCTGATGAAAGATACTCGATGCAGTTAAGACCATTATCATGTCAGCACATGCTTTACAATGTGATCTGTAGAGAACACTCCTGACATAGCAAGCAAATGATCCCTGGCTTTGGAAAGTATTCCCTGGTGGATTTTTTTTTGTTGGTATTGTTTTGGAAACTTATCTTTCCAGTTTGACATCTGCGAATTGCCAGCATGTTTGAATTATTAACAGTGTAAATAAGCATCTAATGGTTTGTATATGCACAGAGTTAATCTGGTATAAATACTGTGTTTTAAATTCACACGTTACCTTATTCCAAAGTAACATTTCAGTGTAGACAAGACCGTCACTTTCCATTAGAAGCAGTTGTTTGTTACCAAAATTCTTCAAATAGGCTACGTCTACACTGGCCCCTTTTCCGGAAGGGGCATGT